ACCATGTGTCAATGCTGTTTGCCAAATATCAAGAGGCTGTGATAAGTAGTTGCTGAGAAAACTTTTAAAAAAAATTCCTACCATTGACCATTATTGTCAAAAAATTTAACTAATTTAACTAAGTGAATAAACAGGAAGTGGATGAGCGACAGACCTGAAATCAATTCCCACGGTATGAGACCATGTGTCAATGCTACATGCCAAATATCAAGAGGCTGTGATAAGTAGTTGCTGAGAAAACTCTTACAAAAATTTCCTACCATTGACCATCAATGTCGAAAAATCTTACTAATTTAACTAAGTGGATAAACAGGAAGTGGATGAGCAACAGACCTGAAACTAAATCCCACCGTATGGGACCATGTGTCTATGCTGTATGCCAAATATCAAGAGGCTGTGATAAGTAGTTGCTGAGAAAACTGTTACGAAAATTTCCTGCTATTGACCATTAATGTTGAAAATTTAACTAGGTCAGCAAACAGGAAGTAGATGTGCGACAGACCTGAAATCAAATCCCACAGTATGGGACCATGTGTTGATGCTGAATACAAAATATTAAAAGGCTGTGATAAGTAGTTGCTGAGAAAACTGCCCGCCGCCCAACATTCACCATACTATAACCCAGGTTTGCACATGTGCAACCCGGCCAAAAATTAACCTATAGCGTACAATAAAAATACGTGATCTACCGCAGTTTATACCGTGGTTTTTAGGAAAAAAACGTGGTATACCGTGGTATTTTCTTTCTGGCGGTACCCAACTCTACTGAGCATGTTGTTACAAAGGCAATAGTCCAGTCAACATTTGTGCCATGTTTCATTAGTATTGAAGCAGTTTTTATAGTTTTATAGCAATTTGAACTTGTAACAAGAGACTTTTCAATGAAAACAGCCATTTTTCACAAAATGCTCATGAAGTAATGGGTTAAGATGACCTATAATACCAAAGGATTTACTGTGAGAAAGTAGAACACTTTTATGAAAATAGAGTCACATCCTTGAAGATATCTTTCTTAAAATACAAATTTCTTAAACAATCTTAACAAAGATTCAACAACGATCAAAAAATAACTGACAAGACACTTTTTTCTCATAAAACAATAATTTGATTTTAACCTTCTTTGTGTATCTTTTTACTTGTATCAGATGGAGCATGATCAATAACTGAAAGAAAAAGGTCATGATCAGCCTAAATCACTCATCTATTGATCCATTTACTAGAAAGGTAATATTTACAATACAGAATATAGGTCACTGAGTCACATATGAAAGGTGCAATGGTTTAAATATCTAATGAAAAGTTTACAAGGTCATGTCTACCAATGCATTTTTTAAATCCTGTAATTCATGACTGGACACAAAGTCCAGAAACTTATTTTCTATTTTTAGTGACAATGAGCTTGACCAAGGAGACCCAAAAGCAATTGTAAGCGATGTCTTTACATAACCTTGCTTAACACCAAATTTCATCGAAATAGTTCAGTTCAAACTCTAGTTATTGAACCAAAACTGATTTCCTATTCTTTGTAACAATGATCTTGACCTTGAACCAGAAACCCAAAAGCAACCGTAAGCGAGGTCTTTACATCACCTCGCTATACACAAAGTTTTATTGAAATATTTCATTTCAAACTCAAGTTATTGACCTGAAACTGATTTTCTATTTTTTAGTAACAATGACCTTGACCCTTAGGGGTCCAATAGCAATCCAAAGTAAGGTCTTTTCATATGCTTGCTATACATTAAGTTTAATTAAAATATCTTATTCCCTTGAGAGTGAAAAGAGAAGTTGTACACAGAAAGAATTGTTCACTATATATTCCATCAAATGAACTAGAACTCCGCGAGTCGGATGTGTTGCATTGTGAACAGCCAAGCTGTCACTTGGGCATTTTCTTCTTAAATATAGGTTATTTATAAACGCCGCTTAAGGGCAATAATTAAAACAAGAGGGCCATGATGGCCCTGGATCGCTCCCCTGACCCATCAACCGCATCCAACCAATGTCTTAGACAAGCATCCTGGCCAATTTTGATGACAGTTGAGTAAAAAATGTGACCTCTAGTGTGTTAAAAGGGTTTTCCATATTTGGGCAATGTGACCTAATTTTTGACTGGAGACGACCCATATTAAAACTTTATCTAGAAATCATCAAAAAAACCTTCCTGACAAATTTCCAGGATATTTGGATCAAAACTGCAGCCACTAGAGTATAAAAAAGATTTTTCTATTTTTAGCTTCTGTGACCTGGTTTCTGACTGAAGATGACACATCTTCGAACTTGACCTAGAAATCATCAAAACTACCTTCCTGACAAATTTTCAGAATATTTGCATCAAAACTGCAGCAACTAGAGTGTTAACAACCTTTTTCTATTTTTAGCTCCTGTGACCTAGTTTTTGACCGGATATGACCCATCTTCAAACTTGACCTAGAAATCATCAAAACAACCATCCTGACTAAACATCTTAGCTCTAGCTCTTTGGGTTCTTTATAAGAAGATTTTTTAAGTTTTTACTATATGCATATAGGGAGAATCAATGACCCCCTGGGGCGGGGCCAATTTTGACCCCAGGGATTTTATTTGAATAAACTTGGTAGACACTCACTAGAAGATGTTTCATGTCAAATATCTAAGCTCTAGCTCTTTGGGTTTTTTAAAAGAAGATATTTAAAGTTTTTTTCTTTCGGTTGCCATGGCAACCACAGTTCTGCATGGAATAAAATTCTTTGAACAATTTTAAAGGTGACCACCAAAGGAACATTCCTGTGAAGTTTGGATGAAACTGGCCTAGTGGTTTATGAGGAGATGTCATTTAACCTTTTCCCTGATACAGCCCCCTTAATTTACTGCTTTACACCCCATAATACAGTAGCCAGATAGATAATCAATAATCAATATCCTACTGATAAGGAGTCACACACTATCTCCATATAGGGTATGATAAATTATAGGTAAAAATTGGCAAATTAGATACCTATATACTTTAACTGGAAAATAAAGTATTAAGTTGTGTTTTGACAATTTTTGTATCAATAAAAAGTTTGTAGAGAATTGAAATACCTTTCCAATGGTATAAATATCATATTTGTTGGGTTTATACAAATATGTCTACATGAGTTATAAAGTAATAAACTATATACTTGATGGTGTTTTTTTCTCCATCGTTTCAGATAAATTAGGCTACTTATGTGTTTTAACTAATGTTTAATGGTTTAATTACAAGTTTGACAATATATATGTCAATGTAAGATTTGTAGAGATTTGAATTATCTTTCCATTGGTATAAATTTTATATTTGTGGGCTTTATAACAGTATAATTACAGTAGTTATAAACAATAAAATGATGTATAATTTTTCTCTCATTAGGGAAATATGGCTAATTTATTATTAATTTTTTTGGTTTATGCAGCATTCATTTTTAGTGAAATAAATAACAACAAGTTCTTTTTTTACCTTTTTAATACCAGTAAAAAGAAATCTCACTTTGTTTTTTTTTATTTATTTTATCAGTTTTTTTTATAATTTATTTCATAATACTGTAGTAACTGTCATTTCTGTAATACATGTATATAACTGTTGAATGAAACATTTCAGAATTTCTGCTGTCATGGTCATATATTTTCTTCATGAATTATTAATTTAATTAAATTTTATCATTTATCGATCTAATTTAGATCAAATGATGATAAAGGAAAGACATCCTCGAGTTCCACGGCCTTTTCGGCATTTTCATGTTGCCGACATCAAAGATGATATATGGGATATGATTTTATCATGTCGTATAATACACGGCCCCATGCTGTGTCTGTTATGAAAACAATAGCGCACATGAAAGAATTTAAACTATTAAACATTTCTTTGTCGGTCATTTTCTTAAAAAAATCGCCGCTGCTACCGGAAATATTTTATTGCAGGGGCCAGAGAGATACCCCTAGTCAGGACGTTAATTAATCCGTGTATATACACATGTCAGCTATCATAAACCAAAACAAACATCAAATCCATTATACCATGCCTGGCACGTGAACGACCCGTGATCATATAAATACTATTTATTCATTAGATGCTATTTTTAGACACTTTTGTTCCTGTCTTACGATACGTTCTATATTTATTTCATTGACCCGCGCACTCATTAACTGCGTGACGTAAGGAAAACCCCTCACCTGGTTGGTCGCTAATTATACAAAAACTTTAAATAGTAACACCATAATTTTATGCACGGAATCCCCTCATGAAATGTTGATCTTTACGATAACACAATTTACAGGTCTATTTTCCGGGAAAATTGTTGATTTTTGGACAGGTAAATATTGAAGTCGGCGAAAGTCGCTTCCATTGAGATCACGCATGTCGGCGATTCTCGCTTACATGCGGTAATCGATAAAGCCGTCGATTCTCGCTTCTATCAGGGAATGGTAAAAGACGGCGATTCTCGCTTCTATAAGGGAAAAGGTTAAAGTAAAAGTTTATGGACGACAGACGGACGAACAGGCGCCGGACGAAAAGCGATCACAAAAGCTCACCCTGTCACTTTGTGACAGGTGAGCTAAAAATATGTATAACGTAGGTGCACAACTAGGGATGATACTGATCACTCCTGTAAAGCCAGAAAGTCGAACAAGATTTTTCTATTTCTAGCTCTGGCATCCATTTTGAGCATTGAAGCGGAACGTGCCGGTGGTGTGCACAACTATGGATGGTACTGATCACTCCTGTAAAGTTTGGTTAAAATCCCAACATAAGTTTGACCTGTTAAAGCCAGACAAGATTTTTCTATTTTTAGCTCTGGGGCCATATTGTGCAGCGATGCAGAACCTGCCGGTGGCGTGCACAACTAGGGATGGTACTGATCACTCCTGTAAAGTTTGTTTGAAATCCCACCAGTAGTTTGACATATGAAAGCAGGACAAGCCTAATGTAGAAGAAAAGAACGGACAGATGGCGAAGTCAAAAACAATATGTCTCCTTAAAATTTTGTTCAAACAAACAATACCTTTGCTTTTGTTTCCTTTAGATGTATCAAATTTCCCTGTCTTCTGTTCTGCCTTACTCTTAGTTGTAGCTTCTTTACTTTCTTCAGGCTTTGTCACTTCTTTATCTGTTTCAGTGTTGGCTTGTGCTGCTGTTGCTGAGCTTGTTGTTGTAGCAGTAGCTTGTGGTGCAGTCTGTGAGCAATCCTCTGATTCCTCAACCTCTAAAACCTTCTCCATAAGAACTGTAGCAGTGATCTTTGTTTCACCTGAAAAATATACAAATCTTGAAAATAAAGTTTTGTCTACAAGTTATAACTGAATAAGCCGCATGAGTTAGAGTGACCAGTGGTTGAGTGGTTGAATGTCTTGTTGCAAACTGACCAATGGAAATTATTGTATGCTTGTATTGAGAAATGTAGATTACCACCTTTCCAGCTTATGCTACAACAAAAGTGCAATCTGAATACATTATAATTTGATAAACAAATGAAAACAAGAACCGGCTGAACGGGTCAATGCTCCCCGAAAAGGTTTTGGACACACAAAAGAATACCTCTTGTATTGTCAGAGTTATGCCCCGGACAAAGTTCAAAGTGTAACAAGAGCACCACTAGGCGGAGCATTATATGCCTGAAAGTGTTTTTTTTAGTAAGGATGAAGACATTACATAAATTAGATAAAGTATTACCTCCTTAAAATAGCAATCCTCCTATAAAGTTTGAATATTGTGGGCCAAATTGAACTTAAGGTATGCTCTGCAAACTGTTTTCAGTTTTAAAGTAATAGCGACCTTGAACTTAGTCCTTGTGACCCCAAAATCAATAGGGGTCTCCTATCAAATACGGACAATCATCCTACATTGTATGAAGTTTGAACACTACGGGCCAAATAGAAATTAAGTTATGTTCTGGAAACTGTTTTCAGTTTTAAAGTACTAGTGACCTTTAACTTTGACCTTGTGACCCCAAAATCAATAGGGGTCTTCTTTCCAATATGAAAAATCATCCTATGAAGTTTGAATACTGTGGGCCAAATGAACCTTAAGTTATGCTCCGGAAACTGTTTTCAGTTTAAAAGTAATAGTGACTTTGACCTTTGACCCAAAATCAATAGGGGTCTACTACCCAATATGGACAATCATCCTATGAAGTTTGAATATTGTGGGACAAATAAACCTTTAGTAATGCCCCAGAAACTGTTTTCAGTTTTAAAGTAATAGTGACCTTCACCTTTGACCCAAAATCAATAGGGGTCTTCTACCTAATATGGACAATCATCCTATGAAGTTTGAACATTGTGGGCCAAATGGAACTTAAGTTATGCTCCGGAAACTGTTTTCAGTTTTAAGGTAATAGTGACCTTGACCTTGGACCTTGTGACCCCAAAATAAATAGGGGTCTTCTACCAAATATGGACAATCATTCTATGAAATTTGAATATTGTTGGACAAATAGACCTTAAGTAAAGCACAGGATACTGTTTTCAGTTTTAAAGTAATAGTGACCTTGACCTTTGACCTTGTGACCCAAAAGTCAATAGGGGTATTCTACCCAATATGGACAATCATCCTATGAAGTTTAAACACTGGGCCAAACAGAACTTAAGTTATGCCCTGGAAACTGTTTTCAGTTTTAAGGTGATAGTGACCTTGACCTTTGACCTTGTGACCCCAAATTCAATAGGGGTCTTCTACCTAATATGGACAATCATCCTATGAAGTTTGAATATTGTAGGCCAAATGAAACTTAAGTTATGCTCTGAAAACCAAATTGATAAGGGATGGACGGACTCATAAATATCAAATGTTCGTCGGGATGGATAGACAGATGGACAGACGAACGCCAGGGGGTATAACATAATATGCCCGACATTCGAAATTCTTTCGGGCATATAAAAATGAAAAAAGGGCAATAAGTCCAAAATTAGGGAAGGCAAAGTTATGGTTCTTTTGCACTGCACATCTACCGATTGAGATATATCTTCCTAAAGTGTCTTGTTAGACGCTGCTTGGTAGATATGCATTTGTCCATACAGCAATGGGGAAAATTTTAGACTTGATTTTGTGTCTGTTTTTTTTTTTCAACATAATCACACTGTTTTTACATTTTCTAACAAGAGCTGTCGGTAGGACAGCAATGCTCGACTATTCTTAGTGCCTTGATTAAAAGGTAAAAATTTTTAAGTAAAGAAAAAGGC